GTGTGTGTGTGTGTGTACCGTTGCAGTACTCCAGCTCGATCAGCAGTGTGTTCTTGTCCAGAAAGTGGTTGAAGTAAGCGATGATGTTGTTGTGGTGCAGGATGGAGAGGATGCTGATCTCGTTCATCACATCTCTGCGCTTCTTATCTGACAGGCAGTTCAGGTCGATCTCCTTCCACACCACCAGAGAGTTATCCTGCACACACACACACACACACACACACACACACACACACACACACACACACACACACACACACACACACACACAATAGAACAATAAATAAGCTACAACCTTAAATCTGCATCAGTTGGGACAGGATGGTAAAGGCAAAAAACAAAGGCAGTAGTGATGTGTGCGGTTAAAGACTCATCAGATTAATGAACATGGTTATTTGTTTGTATTTTTACAAATAATCAAGTTGACATGTAATGTAACGATGTGCAGTGGTCTGACCTCTGTGCGGCGGTACAGAGTGGCCTCTCCGAACGCGCCCTTGCCCAGCACGCGGATGGGGATGTAGTGCAGCTTGTCCTCCTCCCCGCTGAGGCCTCCGGACGCTGCAGACCGGCCGCTCACAGACTCGCAGCCGGACTCTGAGTTCAGGGAGGCGTAGTGCCGCTCGTACTCCTCCAGAGACATGATCTCCCGGTCCGTCCTTCACTCACTGGACACGGCTGTCAGTCTGCTGCTGCCGTCCGTGGCTGACGTTAGAAGTGATACAGCTGTGGCTGAAAATACCATTATTTATTAAAGTATGCATTCATTTTATTTGATCAACGTTTACCCCAACCATCACAGTAATTATACAGAGTATTATCTATATTATTTACTAAATTACCCATTAATTTGTATTTTATTAGTCTACCTCAACCCCTACCATCACAGCAATGTAGAAACATCCTTTTTAACTGGAGTTATTTACATTATTTATTAAATTACCCATTAAAATGTGTTTATTAATGCCTATCCCTACTCCAACACTTACATGTAAAAACTGAAATTATAGAGTAATATTTAATAAATTACACATTAATTAGTATTTTTATTAATGTCTATCTCTACACCAACCCTCACAGTAATGTAAAAACAGTAATAATAACCAGAACTACTCATATTATTTCTTAAATTACCCATTAATTTGTATTTATAAACGTCTACCCCTACCCTCATGGTAATGTAAACATATTATTTATTGTTGTGTCACAAAAATGGACCTGTATGGATGCGAGTATCCACAGCTGTATCCCTTCTAGACTTTACCTATCCTTTAGTAAACACATTGAGGTAATTTTGGTTCAACATTCGCAGTCAGACTTTCTCCTTAATAATAGTTTCAGTAGTCAAGTATTATTTGCTAATTCTAAATAGCGAAATTATATAATCAGCTGTCAGAGCCCAACATGTTGACAGTCAGGTAAACAGTGCTGATGTTGTTTTAAGTCATTCTCACATGTGATTTCACACTCAATATTGAAAGTACAGTATAGAGAGTGTGTCACGAGCTGTTCACAACTGAACTAATATAAGAGCAACTTCAGCTCAATCATGAACACGTACAACAGTTATGACTGTTATCGAGGTAAAGTTGGTCTCATGCTCGCATATTCACCTTTATAGTTTAATTTCAGAAAAGTACTGTTAGCAAATCCCAAACACTGAAACTATATGATCAGCCAATGTTTATTAAAGATGTTCAGTTAAATTGTGCTAATGTTGTTATAAAGGGATAATAACACGAGATTTCAGACCGAATAATTAAAAGTATCGTGGTGAACAGTTCTGGGATCGCGTCATTGTTTGTCACTCCTCAAAAATGAACCAATGTGCGAAAATAAAACCAACTTCACCTCAGCTTGTGTGTTTATTCTGGTTAAACTAACTTACCCTCCTCTCGAGTCTCCACACTGAACTACACACAACTTGCTGTGGGAGTCATTTCCGACAGGGAGTCGACTCGTTCGGTCACTTGTTTTGAACTGGCGTCCACGTCCATTGAGTTCGCAGAGCGAGCCGAATCTTTGAATCTTTTGAGAGTCGACACAGTTATGCTCGGAAACAAACAAGAGATGCAGGAAGCGGAACTGACTCGATTCTCACGGGCTTTTATTTCAAAATATTCATCAGCATAACATTATTGTTTTTACATGTCTGACAGAAGCTTTAAATAAGACTGCCGACGCGGTAATGTGTAGGAGTAAATACGAAATAAAATAGCTGATGAGTAAACTTAATTTAATACAAATAAAAGTACATTTAAATTCCAGTACACATTATAATGTCAATATTAATGTAACAACATTGCAGTCATTTTCGACCAAACAAAATTCCCTGAAAGTTAACTTGTTAAACCGGTCAGGATCAATATATATATATATATAATCACTGTTGACTGTAACCTCCATACAGTAACACTATTTTTAAATACAGTAATAATTATACTTGGATATATGATCCTCTGCTGATTTATATGTAAGAACTGATATCGAATCATCAGCAAGATCATTTCTAGAACATAATAGTTTTAATATTTTTTTAAAATCACAATTATGACAGTACATACTATTTTACTACATATTTTTCAAGATAAGGTGTAACTTTAAATGCTTAATAGGGTAATGAGTACGGCCAGGTGGAATCTGTGGACATTATTTGCTTTTTCTGTGCAGAATTGTGATAAAAATCTGCGGATTTCTGCTGAATTATTTTGGGAGTATCATAACTAAAACCTTAATTGATGAAATAAAAAGTAATACATTTAACTTTTATTTAATATTAACAATGCAAATTCAATTAGATCCACTTTATTTGGTAAACAAAGCAAGTATCTCATGTAATATCTCTACTGAAAGACAGAAAACATTACTGTACACACTGCATTGTGAATAAAGCATATTAATACTTCCATATTAGTCAATAATGTTACTGAAATTAATTTAAAAAGTGGATAAATATAAATGTACACACATTTACACGGGTAAATAAACAGAATCAATGATGGGCTAAAAAGTCACTGTATAGCAGTGCTCTGTTTCAGGTTAATAATATTGACCATACAATGAGCATATACAAATGAATGTAAACACATTATAGGAATAATTATTTCATTGTTTTTATTGCAACCAAACATAAACAAAAACAGAAGTTAGAAAAGAAAAACAAATATTGTTCATGAGTTAATGTGTTCATTAATGATGAACAGTACATGTACAGGCTTCATTAATATTCATTTCTAAATGTGTGCAGAGAGCCATGCTGCCACATGATGGCGACAAACAACTGAAGACTCAAACACACTCATGATGATGATGATGATGAAGTCTTCAACACTGAAGATATGCGGTAATAACACAGTGTTGTGTTACGCAGGGATGGGCAGTATTTATGATACATGCATTCCACATTTTAAATGCATTATATTATTGTGTAATCTGTATTTGATAGAGTTTATGAAAATGGCTTAATATTTAGCGTCAAAGTACTTTAGTGTCTTGTACTTTTGTATGTTTAAAATACTGTAAAATGCATCCTCTGATTAGTGCTTTGGATGTTATTGACTCCTCGGTTTACTGTACAAATAACAGTACTTTTGGATGAACTGCTGATGCTAAATCTGTCGTTAAAACAAACAACATAAAGAAAAGTCTTCCAGTGGTGATTCCTACAATACTTCATAGCCTGTTGTAAATGCCAGTAGCTGGTCAGGAGGTCCACTGTATAGTTATTGAGGAGGAGAGATGTAAGCCTTAAGATCACACAACATATAAAGCGCAAAAATTTAATAATCATCTAATACTCATTTCACATTGAGGAGTTCAACAGCAAAATAGAAGTTCCTTCAGCTTAGTCCCTTTATTAATCAGCAGTCACCACAGAGGAATGAACCACCAACTATTCCAGCATGTTTTACACAGCGGATGCCCTTCCAGCTGCAACTTAGTAGTGGGAAACACCCATACACACTCATTCACACACACACTCATACACTACGGCCAGTGTAGTTGATCAGTTCCCCTATAGCGCATGTGTTTGGACTGTGGGGGAAACCGGAGCACCCGGAGGAAACCCACACCAACACGGGGAGAACATGCATTCTCTATTATAAATGAGCAAAATGTGGTGCAAAATGCAAATTAAATGATATAATTGACTATGCAAATCGCACTCTGATGTTGAGGACACAGTTGACCCAATAGTGAAAACTTTTTCATGAGTGTCTTTCCTCTGCTGGACACTGAAGAAGATATTTTGAAGAATGCTGGAATCCTGTAACCATTGACTTCTATTGGATTTGTTTTTCCCACGATGGAGGTCAGTGGTTTTGGGTTTTCTTCAGAATATCTTCTTTTGTGTTTGCTTTGAAAGGAGGGAGAGTAAAATGATCAGTGTCTGGGTGAACTATCCCTTTAAAGCTTTAGAGGTTGCAAAAATTGATTAAAAAAAGACTCTTAACTCTTGTGCTCTAGTTTTGGCTGTGTTTTGCCACAGACATGATGAACATGCAATCTCAGCCCAAATGCATTTAGGACAAATAATCTTTAATGGATGCCTTTGCCTCTATTACTTTCCTACAACTTATAACGCATTGCAATGAGTATGCAGCTTACATACTAAAACTGTGCTGGAAATAGCAGACCTGCATGATAGAGAGCATTTATTGATGTTGCAGTGAATGCACATGTACACAGAGAAATGCACTGGTGTTTGGCATTCGCTGATGAATGTGTGTCTCCTCATACTGTACATCTGCTCTAGACACTGAGCCAGCAGGACACCAGCAGCAGCTGACCCTCTGCAAGATCCTCAACAGGAACCAGAACCACCGCAGGAGCACACGGATCCCGAGCACCAGTGAAGCGCTGCTGCAGACCTGCGTACACACACACACACACACACACACACACACACACACACACACACACACACACACACACACACACACACACACACACACACACACACACACACACATGTTGGGAGTGCACCAACCAAAGTTTCATCTGTATATTATATTGATGGGAAAACCAAAATACCATCTGATGTGGTGATTCTACAGTTGCTATGGTAACACAACAACTATGGTAATTAATCTCTTATGTGGGTTCTATAGTTGCTATAGTAACAACTGTAGTAATTAATTTGTCATGGTGATTCAACGGTTGCTATGATAATAGGTAATTGATCTGTTGTGGTGATTCTATGGTTGCTATAGTAACACAACAACTACAGTAATTGATCTGTTGTGGTGATTCTACAGTTGCTATGGTAACACAACAACTACAGTAATATAAACAAATGACACCATGCTGTAGTTTTCTGAACTTATAGGGCATATTAAACAGCAATACACCACAGTTTACTGTAGTAAAAACTAAAGTATACCACTGTATTTATTACTGTTGATTAGGTCACTATCTCTAATACTGCAGACTACTGAAGCGCTCATTAACAAAGAGCTGTAAATACTATAATATATACAATATTACTCTAGTATGGTTCATAAATACTAGTATTTACTATAAATGACTACAGTATTTTTACATGTGAAAGCGGACCCCTGTAGAGGAGTAAGTGCCGCAGGGTTTTCAGGGCTCGTTAATATGTTTTTAGGGTTAATTCTTTATCCAGAAATCCAACATCTAGCCCTACTGAACATTAATCAAACGCCATAAAGCTTATCATGTTAACAGAAATCCTGAAACGAATACTGATGCACATTTCACAAGCACAAAACACATTAAATATGCTTTCATTAGTATTATTATTTTAGTTTAGCTGAGTTCTGAAGACAAGCTAAAGTCTGTCGGGTTCAGAAGAACATGAAGGTCAGTAAACAATGGGTCAGTTTTCATGTGATTGTGTCCAGAAGAGAGCCACTGCAATTAGCCCGAGTCCATCGCTGGGGGAGCGAGGTCAGTGCGGAAACACAGCAGACACACTGACTAACACAAACATCAAACTCTTTTGATCAGGTCTTTCATCAAACACACACACACACACACACACACACACACACACACACACACACACGTCATTAATGAAATGAAGCTTTTCTCTGTGTGCTCCATCAGGCCTGCGGTGCACTATGGGTAATCAGAGCTTCAACAGGAGATCACACACTAAAACAAGCTGCATTAGTCCAACGGTCACCTTCATCACACACACTGAGAGACCAAACACTGAAGAGCAAATCCATCCATGCGCAGCTCCACAAGGCCCACACCAAGCAAGCCAGTGGAGGAACAGACCTCACCAATTGACCAGAGTGAAGAAGAGAAACCTGGCTCTGCTGGGCACAACCATTTCTCCTCTGGCCAAACTTCCTGTGCAGAGCTGCAGTGTAGGCCCCGGAGGCTGGAGAACGCTGGACATCCCACTCTCCAATGAGAGAGCAGGTCATGAGCTGATGTGGTCATGATTGGCTGTTATGTTCAGGAGCTCGACAGGAATGTCTGTGATTGGCCAGAATAGCCATCCATGCACTCACTTCACCCTGCCTTTACACAGACATATCAAGCCTCGTCTATCAGCTGAACCGTGCAGATATATGAGCGACTGACAGATCCGCTGACTGACGAAGCTTTCAAACACTCACTTGAACACTTACAGAGAGATTTCAAACGATGCTGTGTGTCAGTGATGTCATCATCACACATCAGCCAATAGGGTTCTGTTCTTTCAGACGGCTCCGCCCTTAACATGTTATTGGCTGGGGTTTGTGGGTGGGACAGAGCTGTTGTTGTCAGATCATGTAGTGTGTGGCGCCCTCTTGTGGATCATTCATGTAGGCCAACTCTATTTTTGTCTATGTTGTGGGACTACTGTACAGGATTTATTATTGGGGATTATACATAGCCAAATTTAGCAGCTTTTTTTTAAAGTAGCATGATCGTAAAACAAAAGGGCTATTATGAATGTATTAAAATATGCGTTTGCTTGCTTAAAAAATTCTTAATAATGCCGAAAACACTTAAATTTGTGCATCTCCTGACTCGCATGTGCAGCCATGTTGCGTTGTGAGCTGCTGTGTTCTGGGAAATCTTTGCACCCCTTGGTTTCTAGTGTGGTCCCAACACAATCTCACGGCAATTCTTTTTGATTTAGTGGCTAATTTGTATGAATTCGCACAATCTAATTTGTATCAATTTAGTACGATTTGCCCATCACCCAATGGAAGTTGGGTATAGGGGTGGGGTTGGGTGCAATTTTGTACGACTGAACTCACAATTTCAATTTCAGACGACTAAACTGCCACTAAACTGACGAAACGTAAAAGTTTTCCTGTGAGATCAGGCTAGTGGTCCTGGAAAATCTCCATTTCAAGGGCTATCGAGCCCTTCCCCTTATCCCTACGCCTTCGAAAGGAAAAGGATTGGGACATCCAATTCCAAACCAGGGGTAGGGGGTAAGGGTTAGAATTGGGCCTGAGCCGTAGTGTTGCGTAGTGTGCACACCACAGCGATTTAAAGACACAGAAATATCAAGTCACAGTTAGAACGGCACAGCGAACGGCAGATGTCTAAAATCAAACAGTGTGAACTAGGCTTCAGAGTCCCACAGTGTTGCTGTAAAACTAAGGGGGGTCGAGCATCTTCAACTGCAGATAATTTGTGAGATTTGTCTCTGGCCAGTTTGAAAAATGCCTCTTGAATCCAATTTGTTCTGGCTGGCTTTTGATTAAGATCAGCTTTAATTTAACAGGAAAACCAAATGTGGAAAGAGTCCATTCAACTTAAGTAATAGTAAGTGAGTAAAGCTGTTGCTTTAAAAGCGATTAGCTAACAAGTGAGTAGACACACCGCCTAAAAATAAACGAACAGTGCATAATTATAAATGAGTCAGTTCCATGTTACACTGGGTTTACTCAAATGTTTTAAATGAACTCGTCGCTTTTAGGGCAACAGCTTTTAAAGTAAACTGCTCTCTGTTTACAGTGTAAGAAATGAAATAGTTATTATTTTTTATATGAAAGCTTCAGGTTTGCTGGGTTGTTCATGGATCTCTCCGTGATCATGAGGCAATTTCCAGAACCTTTGCTTTCTCTGTTTCTCCGTCTGCAATTGTTCTAATACACTGCACAGTTAATATACATGTCTGTGTGTTGATTATGTTTAAACTATTAAGCTAAATAACTAATGAAGTCTCTGTCACTGTTTTGAACAACCACTGCAAACACAATCTTAATAAACACTCAGATAATGAATAGTTATTGACAGTGTCCTCCACATCAACACTGCATGTTCATTATCAGCTGTATATTGAATTTCTGAATATCAGCATTTGTCTAGTAAGGAGCTCTGTGTGACCTGATTTCCAGGATATCAGTAGACAGATTTGGGACGGTGATCAGCGTACGCATTTAACCTGCTGGTCTATTCTGATGAACACAACGCCTGAAAGAGCCTCCAGAACAGCATCAAGATGATTTTTTGGCTTTTGGAGATGTCCCGGAGCCAAACGCCTGTCTGTCAGCACAGCGGATCAGGAGACTGTCGTCTGAGTTTTGGGGACGTGGGTCCGACAGAAAGGGTTTCAGGGCGAATGTCTTCATTTCTCCTCTGATATTGTTGGTCTGTGACCCGTGAATGCGCTGCTGGCGATCTCTGAGGGCGTCCACACCACGCCACAGACAGACAGCTGGAGAAATGTGTTTGAACATATGCTGCAGCGGCGGCACGCGGATCTGATGACGGAAACATCAGCGCACGCTTCAGCACAACAGCAGACCTGTTGGAGGACTGTCAGCTGATTCAGCACACACACACACACGCACGCACGCACACACACACATACACACACACACACACACACACACTCACGGACACACACACGCACACACATACACACACACACACACACTCACGCACACACACACACTAGGCTTCATCAACATCTGTACGTCAGACACATGTGAAATACACTGCAATGCTTTTCTTACTGGACGTTTTGTCTTGTTTCTAGTCGAAATATTTAACAATTCTTAAATCCAGACATGCGAATAACAGTGTCATGTTTACAGAGTCAAACTGAAGTGAAAAGCAGACTCAAGATGTTGTCCTGACGTCATGCACAGATCATTTTCTTCTTGTTTTAGGGAAAAACATTTAATTTTGACTAATTTTTGAAAACAGCAAGTCTCATTCGTCTGAATTGTGTAAAGTGTTTTGTGTTTATACCATTATATCTATATATATACAGCTGAAAGCAGAAGTTTCCATCTACTGTATAAAAAGGCACATCAGCATTAAAAAGAGTCAGCTGTTAATGTGACTAAACTTTTCCTCTTTAGGTAAGTGAGGATGATCATGTGTTTCTGTTCTGCTCAACAGCAGAATAATGAGAGAGATTGTTTGAGGAATTGTTCTTGAAAGTCAAGTTTGCACACAGTAAGATTATTCTGCCTGTGATGAAGCTCAGATGATGATGTCAGGGTTTTGGAGGTTTCTGATTGGCTGATTGACAGCATTTGAGTTAATGTGAGGCACAACTGTAGAATAGTGTTGAAAGAAAAGCTCAAACACACTGCTTCCTTCTGTGTGACAACATGGAAAAATCAACAACAAAGCCAGATTACCATTAGCTGAATGACACTGGGAAAGACTCATATGTGGAGACATGTCCTGTGCTCTGATGGAGCTAAGATTGAACTGTTTGGCCATAATGAGCAGTGTTACATTTGGAGGACAAAGAGGAAAGCGCACAAGCCTAGAACACCATCCCAACTGTGCAGTATGGGGGCGGCAGCATCATGCTGTGGGGCTGTTCTGCTGCAGGAGGGACTGGTCCACTTCACAGCATAGATGGCATCATGAAGACAGAACATTATGGAGAAATACTGAAGCAACATCTCAACACATCAGCCAGAATATTAAAACCTGGCCACAAATGGCTCTTCCAGACAGACCATGACCCTGAGCACACTGCCAAATGAGTTCAAATGTGCTTTAAGGACAACAGAGTGAATGTTTTGGAGTGGCCATCATAAAGCCCTGATCTCAACCCTATAGAGAATGTGTGGGCAGAGTTGAAAAAGCTTGTGTGAGCAAGACAGCCTACAAATCTGACTCAGTTACAGCAATTCTGCAGGAGGAATGGGCCAAAACTCCTGCAAACTATTGAGAGAAGCTTGTGGAAGGAGACACGAAACATCTGACCAAAGTTATACAGCTTAACAGCAAAGCTAAAATACCAAGCAAATGTGTTTAAACTTCTGACTGTCTAGAAATTAATAACAAAATCTCTCATTATTCTGGCATTGAGCAAATGTAAGTCATTTAGGTAACCCTGACGGACCTTTGTCCTTAATTTTGTGCTTCTTAAAGTGAATCTGGAGAGTTCTGAATGAGCCTCCATGTGCAAAAAGTTAGTCATTTGCATAATACACGCCCACACTCGTATTTTTCCTCTCATATCTGTGCTCAAACTGGAGATCCTCGACACATCTCTGCTCCTAAAGCACTAGAGCTTTCCTGATGAGCAGATCACCATCACCATCACCTGTGGACATCACATCATCATCCAGCAGATCACCTGATCACGGCCTGCACTGATCCTGACTCTGTTTCTGGAGTGTGCTGCAGAAACCAACATTGGCACATGTGTTTACTTAAAAAGTAACCGATAAGAATGATGAGGAACACACTCATGATGTTTCTTTCACTCTCTGCAATGAAATACAAGTCAAAGTAAAACTAGAAATCACTCCCTTCTGTTTTTATTTGTGTTTTCCACACGGTCACAACTTTATCTGATGTGATATATATACAGTATACGTGTGTGTGTGTGTGTGTGTGGTACCTGTGGCGATGTGTGTGCTGGTGTTGTGGTGTCTCCTGTAGAAGACTCTGGCACACAGCGCAGTCAGCCCGGGACTCTCCTGAAGCGCAGAGCTGTAGCAGGACATCAGTGTGTGCAGCAGGCTCTCGGCGCTCACACACGCACTCTCTGCGCTCTCACACACACTCACAGACAGAGAGGCGTATCGAGCGCAGCCGGAGCGCAGCAGCCGGGACTCCACAAGGCCGCTGGAGCTCCGACACACACACACTCTCTCTGAGGGACAGTCCTGCACCGCAGACACATGCAGCTCCAGCAGCGCTCCTCTGGGCAGAGCACACACCACCAGCAGATGGAGCTGAGGAGCACACACACACACACCAGTGCATGAGAACAACACAAACACAAAGTGAAGAAAACACACCTTCATCACACTGAAAACAACTGTTATCTCATCCCCATGATGAACACACACGGACATCACCTGCAGCCTGACAACAAGCGACCGGCGAGACAAAGCCAGATCAGAGAGATTCCAGACACGCGCGGCTCATTCTACACCATCTCAGGCCTTAAATGATGTCATCTGCAGAGTTAAACATCTTTATTCTTCAGCGGCGGCCATTATCGCCTCTCAAACGTCTTCTGCGACACAATGCGGCCCTCAAATAACACCGTCTCATCTGCTAATGGCCGACAAATGAGTGTTTTACACAAGCGCCGCTTTGTTTGCGCCGTCGATCAGGGCCGAAAACACTTAACCCTCTGCTCAATTGGCTGGATCAATTTTCCTCCACTCCAGCGCACCGCTGTAATGACGGGTTACACACACTTTATTTCGAGATTCGCTCAGAAAGCAGACGGCGAATAAATCAGAGAGGCTTTTCTCACAATTTGGGGCCGCGTCCCGGTGGCGACCCGGTGACCGGCGCTGCACTTACATCCAGATTAAAGCAGCGCGCGCTGATTGCGTATCAACACCACAGCACTTCAGCCACTAAACAATAGCAGCTTTAAGCAGAGCAAAGTGTTCACTCAGACGGCTGCGCTTTAATACGCCACAGATTAGCACTTAACAGCACACAGGGGCCGTAATGAAGGGAGGCTGCTAATGGTTCCCAGAGTCCGTAATAAGGGATCCAGAGCGGTTTTAAGGGATAGTTCACTCAGAAATGAAGAGTTAATCACTTCTTACACACCTGTTTGATAATATTTTGAAGAAAGCTGAAAACCACAGGACAACAAATACTGTGGAAATCAATGACTGCAGGATTATCTTCTGCTGTGGTCAACAGGTTTGGAAAAGGTAAAGGGTGAGTAAATGAAGACAGAATTTACTCTTAAGGGTGAACTTTAAAGGCCGACCTCGTGACATCCAGACTCTCACTTTATGAGTCAAAAACAGAACAAGTTCTGAAACAACAGCATTTACTATAGCCATAAGGTTTAGATGATGTTTATAGCAGGTGGAGGAGGTTTAGATGATGTTTACGGCAGGTGGAGGAGGTTTAGATGATGTTTACGGCAGGTGGAGGAGGTTTAGATGATGTTTACGGCAGGTGGAGGAGGTTTAGATGATGGTTACAGCAGGTAGAGGAGGTTTAGATGATGTTTACTGCAGGTGGAGGAGGTTTAGATGATGTTTACGGCAGGTGGAGGAGGTTTACATGATGTTTACAGCAGGTGGAGGAGGTTTAGATGATGGTTACCGCAGGTGGAGGAGATTTAGATGATGGTTACAGCAGGTGGAGGAGGTTTAATGATGTTAACAGCAGGTGGAGGAGGTTTAGATGATGTTTACGGCAGGTGGAGGAGGTTTAGATGATGGTTACGGCAGGTGGAGGAGGTTTAGATGATGTTTGCAGCAGGTGGAGGAGGTTTAGATGATGTTTACGGCAGATGGAGGAGGTTTAGATGATGTTTACAGCAGGTGGATGAGGTTTAGATGATGGTTACGGCAGGTGGAGGAGGTTTAGATGATGTTTACGGCAGGTGGAGGAGGTTTAGATGATGTTTACGGCAGGTGGAGGAGGTTTAGATGATGTTTACGGCAGGTGGAGGAGGTTTAGATGATGTTTACAGCAGGTGGAGGAGGTTTAGATGATGTTTACGGCAGGTGGAGGAGGTTTAGATGATGTTTACGGCAGGTGGAGGAGGTTTAGATGATGTTTACGGCAGGTGGAGGAGGTTTAGATGATGTTTACGGCAGGTGGAGGAGGTTTAGATGATGTTTACGGCAGGTGGAGGAGGTTAAGATGATGTTTACAGCAGGTGGAGGAGGTTTAGATGATGTTTACAGCAGGTGGAGGAGGTTTAGATGATGTTTACAGCAGGTGGAGGAGGTTTAGATAATGTTTACAGCAGGTGGAGGAGGTTTAGATGATGTTTACGGCAGGTGGAGGAGGTTTAATGATGTTAACGGCAGGTGGAGGAGGTTTAGATGATGTTTACGGCAGGTGGAGGAGGTTTAGATGATGGTTACAGCAGGTGGAGGAGGTTTAGATGATGTTTACAGCAGGTGGAGGAGGTTTAGATGATGTTTACGGCAGATGGAGGAGGTTTAGATGATGTTTACAGCAGGTGGAGGAGGTTTAGATGATGTTTACTGCAGGTGGAGGAGGTTTAGATGATGTTTACAGCAGATGGAAGAGGTTTAGATGATGTTTACGGCAGGCGGAGGAGGTTTAGATGATGTTTACTGCAGGCGGAGGAGGTTTAGATGATGTTTACGGCAGGCGGAGGAGGTTTAGATGATGTTTACGGCAGGCGGAGGAGGTTTAGATGATGTTTACAGCAGGCGGAGGAGGTTTAGATGATGTTTACAGCAGGTGGAGGAGGTTTAGATGATTTTTACAGCAGGTGGAGGAGGTTTAGATGATGTTTACGGCAGGTGGAGGAGGTTTAGATGATGTTTACGGCAGGTGGAGGAGGTTTAGATGATGTTTACAGCAGGTGGAGGAGGTTTAGATGATGTTTACGGCAGGTGGAGGAGGTTTAGATGATGTTTACGGCAGGTGGAGGAGGTTTAGATGATGTTTACGGCAGGTGGAGGAGGTTTAGATGATGTTTACAGCAGGTGGAGGAGGTTTAGATGATGTTTACAGCAGGTGGAGGAGGTTTAGATGATGTTTACGGCAGGTGGAGGAGGTTTAGATGATGTTTACAGCAGGTGGAGGAGGTTTAGATGATGTTTACGGCAGGTGGAGGAGGTTTAGATTACACTCTTTACATCAATATCCATGTAATCCTTTAATAAACCACAATCCATTCCCATTTAATTCTTCATGCAGAACAAATCCTCCAACATTTAAACATGTTATAGATCACAGCTAATTACAATATTCAAATCTCCTAATACAAAATCAATTCCTATTTAAATCACAAAGCAGAACAGAGTTGGTGGATATTTTAATATCTCATAATAGAATAAGTCAGACTCATCTCTAATCTCTTCACTGAAATCCGTCAGCTTGTATAACAGCAGATGAACACATGAAGGTTTACACACTCATTAAAGCAGCCGTGTGGGAAAGTTGACTTCAATAACCTGCAGTTGTGAGTGTGATCAGTGTTTGCATTGATCTGAAGTTAAAGCGTCTCTATAACACACACGTCTCGCTCTCCACAAACAACACATGTGCCAATTAACCCTGCAAACTCCATCACACACTCCATTACAGACATTATGAACGCTTCTGCTTCATCTCCTCTGACTGGAGGAGCTGTTTTCATCATATCCACACACACCGAATCAACCCGCTGATGATGATTATTAGACACATCACCAGTGACAGCATCAACACACTGATATATGATCACATATAGATGATCAATAAGTCATCACAACATACAGTTTCATGTTGCTTGCACTTATCTTAAAAGGTTTTGACTTTAAGTTATGCACTAATACCAGTAATCTTCATTTGTTACAGTTTAATCAAATTAATCTGATGAGTAGGCCCACACCCAAGTGAATTATGGGATCACATCTGAAGATATGTGTGGGAATCTCACAGCATCAGGTTTGATGAGCGCTCAGCCCTGAGATCAGCTCCTGATTGGCTCAGCTGCGCTTCACTCGGACACTTCATTTGCATATAAACGTTGGATTCGTGAAGGAGCTCTGGGATTAATTGCTTTCCCTTAATCCAGCTCTCCTAAATAAACATTAAATAATGAAACAATGCAGAGAGCAAGAGGAAACAAGCAGCACTATCTCAGAGCAAACACGGTGATGAGAGGATTGAACTGGTCTCGAATTTAGACTCCACAAAGATGGACCCCGTCAGCACATCTGTGCATCTCCAGGCCGCAGTTACACCTAAATCTCATTTATTTCACACATAATTCTGCCTTTCCTTGTTTAACTAACCCTTTAAAGAGGTCTTTATTCAATATTAGTAATCCAGCAGCATGTCTAATGTCATTGATGTCAATTTTACAAATTATTTTTCTTTCTGTTTTACTTTCTGTAGTAACACTGCATATAACAGTGCCCTTTAAAAATCTGGATAGACCGAGGCTCAGTCAAATAAAAGAGATCAGTATATGGGAATGACCACACAATGAGCAGCAGACACCATCGTTCTCATGTAAATCACGCAAGTGTAAAACCCCGGCGGACTAAAGGCCAATCAGAACACAACGCAGACTGTTGGTGACTCACAGGCCACGCCCTTATCATTTGCATGTGCTCTAGGTCAGGTTTTACATCATCCGGACCTGACGAGCAGCCACATCATCAGGAGATCAGCAGCCCAAACACAGACTGATGTGCTGCCTGGGATCATTCATATTTAGGGTCAATATGGACCTTCTGACTTTAAGATTATTTTATGGGGTGATAAACGAGCATATTATAGTTTCTGGATTTCCCTGAGCCATAAACCTGCCTCCAGAGAACAACTTCAGATTGTGGGCAAATATGCAGATTTAATCTATTCGAATTTACCTGTTTTCAAATGTGATTACATATAGAAAATATAATATGAAAATATCAGTGTGCAACATCAAGCAGCAGAACGAGCATGTGTGTGTGTGTGTGTGTGTGTGTGTGTGTGTGTGTGTGTG